CAAGATTTAGCCTTCATAAATTACAGTAATGCTGAACAACAAACAGAAGGAGGCTCTGATACCAATTGTGAGATTTAAAATAATTTAAATCCAGAAAGAAGAATACCTCCTGCTGTAATGTTCAAGCCTTTGAATCTTTATCCTTGAATGATCAAATCTTGAATATATAAACAAAACCCACTCACTGAACACTTTTACTGAACCATATGAGAAAAGTGGAAGGAAGAGAGTTTCAAGCCTATTCTATTCACAAAACCACACCTGTGTTTGATGGCTATCACAGACATATATATAAATAAGTTTGGACTCACATCCAAGTGTAACTCTTTATAACTTCCCACCATCAGGAAAATTGTAACGTCCCATGAAACCATCATATGAGATAGTGAACAGACATTAGTTACCCATTAACCATTAAACTAATTAAATATATATAATAAATATAAATAAATACCATTAAACTAATTAAATATATATAATAAATATAAATAAATATGGGCCACTTTATGGATATTCTTACATAAATGACTCTTTAAATCAAACTTGTTAGTTATTATAAATAGTATTATTATATTTTGGTCACTCCAATGGGCTAGCTATTATAATAGTTATTTTAACAAAATTCTTCAAGATAGCTACGTTTGAAGAGTCTTGAAAGGCTTTTTAAACAGTTTGTGTAATGTTGGAGTATATAAATAAAAAAGAAATAGGCAAAATAAAGGATTACTTTTTTTATATTTTAGCTTGTAAAAAATGAAGAGTGCAATTGGAAAATATAACTTGAATATAAATTCGAAGGTAAGAAATGTAATTTAGGGTAATATTATTTTGACAAACAATAATGATAGAAACACTAATTAATGTAGAATTATGTACAAATTAACACAACAACTAGATACATATTAGGTAGAATTATGTTATGTGATAGAACCCACATGTACAATTTGTGTCTTAATTGATACACTAATTAGTGTTTCTAGTATTATTGTTGAGTTATTTTTTGATAAATCCTCTTTTTCATTTTACTCATATTCTTTCTAAATATTTCATTAAGTCCTATTTAATGTAATATGACCAAATCAACATTTTAATTTTTTCCACATGTTTCTATTTTGAAACTAATACATAATAATAGTCCCTCATTTTATTGAGAAAATTACTCCTTCATTCTAAAGAGAATCTTTCATTTATTCCATGGAGAAAATCTTTCCCTTATTCTAAGGAGAAAATCTCTTCTGCATTCTATGGAGAAAATCTCAAATTATGAATTTTGAACATTCTTATAATTTGAAAATTTTAAAAATAATGCAATAAAAAATTTGAATAAAAATCAAAATACAATGTGAATATTAACAGCAAACAACAAACATATAACTATCTTTTGAAAAAACAAAACACATACTAAAGTACAAAGTGAATGTTCACAATAAACAACAAACATACAATTAACCTTCGAAAAAATAAAATCCATACCAAAATACAATATGAATGTTCACAATTTATAATTAACATACAACTAGCCTTTAAAAACATAACTCATACCAATGTAAACACTTACACTGCAACATGAAAATATAAAATAAAATTAAAAAAAGTAAAGATCGACTATTTCAATTGTTTAATGGTAACAAAAAATGATTATTCAACTAACAAACATAGTAAGAAAAACAACAAACACACAATTTACTTTTAAGAAAATAAAACTTATACCAAAATACAATGTGAATGTTCATAATTTACAATTAATATACAACTAATTTAAAAATAAAATTAAATTAAAAAAAAACTCATACCAATGTGAACATTTATATTGCAATGTGAAAATATAAAATAAAATTGAAAAAAATGAAAATCGACTTATTCGATTGTTCATTGGTAACAAAAATGATTATTCAACCAATAAGCATAGTAAAAAAAATAACAAAATACAACTAATTGTCGAAAAAAAAAACACTCTTACAAAAATGCAATGTGAATGTTCACAATTTACAATTAATATATAACTAACCTTAGAAAAACTAAATTCATTCCAATGTGAACATTCACACTTCAACATGAAACAAAATTGAAAGGGAAAAAAATAACTATTTCAATTGTTTAATGGTAACAAAAAATAATTTTTTAAACAATTAGTAACAAATAATCAATGATATGTGAACATTCACATATTGCTAGACATATAATTATGTCCATATTTATATTTTAACGCTTATTTCTCAGCCTTTCAAACAATGTGAAATGTGATCATTCACACTGATTGACAAAAAAATAAAAATAATGGAAGCAATAGAATTAGAAATCCAAAAAAAAAAAAACTCAAATCACTCTAAAAACAAAAAAATATCACCTACATCCTCATCTTTATCATCATCTTTATCATTATCATTATCATTAACAATTTATGTAATTTTATCATTCCATCAATCCAAATCAAACCAAACCCACATTTGAAGAATATGTTTGTAACAAAATTGATTGGACACAAACAGAGTTTCGACTTACAACAATGGAGAAACATAGAATTTCAAACACAGAGCAACGACGAACACAGAACTTCAAACACGGAGTGACAATGGAGAAACACAAAGTTGCATCGCAACAATAAAGGAATATAATATTATTTCACCACCATGTGTAAACTAAAGTTTCTAAACCTTACAAAATATAGAGTTTCAAAACCCTAGCACAATAAAACAATACCACAAATGTGAATGAAACTGATCAAAAATAAAAACGTAAACAATGGTAACTACCAAAATAGAGATAGCAATAAAAAATAAATGTGTATATCATTTTTCTATGTAATACATATCAACAATAGACATAAGGATATAATAGTCTAACAAATAATATAAATCAGGAAAAAAAGATCTCGTAGAATAAAAGTATAAATACATAAAATTAATTAGGTTATAATTTTTCTTGATGGACTTATTAGGTTAGAACGCCTCCAAATAAAATTTATAAAAAAAATAAATAAATAAAACACATTACTGTTTTACAAATGTGAAGAGTCGGTGATTATAGAGATTGATATTTTTCGGTGATACGAGCAAATGTTTTGAATCGCTGATTTGGGTTTCACGGTGGGCTTTCTTTTTTACCATAATCTACGGCCTAAAAATTATTGGGTCATTTTATTTGAATTCAATACGTTCAATTTAAATTTTAAATTTTTATTATACTCAATATAAATTTATTAATAAAGACATTACATATTAAAATAAAATATTATTTTTTTTTCATAGTGCATTCTAATAAATTATATATCTTCTTATTCAAGTTTCTTCATCTTCTTCTCAAAGTTTCAATTATTTTCTTTTTTTCTTTTTCACTTCAAAATTTCAATCCACTCCACTAAAACACATCATTATTTTTTATTATATTATTAGTTGTGCTAAAAAAAACCTGCAGCTTTCAATGAACATTTGATTTTATATATATGTGTGTGTATATCTCAATATATATACATGGTCTTCATTTATCAAACTCAAGCTTCAAATTTCACTTATTTTGACTTATATACATCAACCCTAAATTTGTGTTTCTGTTTCTTGTTTTACTAAATCATGAATTTCATGTGTTCTAATCATGTGGATTAACAATCCAGTAAAATCACAATCTTTTGGTGTATTATTATGCAATGGTGGTGTTTGGCAAGTGGGTTGGGGCTAAAATAGCCACAAAAGACAAAACAGGCTATTTTAGCCACAACAAACAAAACATCACATCCAACCCATAATCATTACACTCTTCTCTCACAAAAAAAAAGCCAAAAAGTCAAAAAGCCAAAAAGCCCTTCCCAAACCAAGCTTTTTAGCCCAGGCTAAAATAGCCAAAAAAGCCAAAAAGCCAAAAAGCCAACCCACTTCCCAAACGGAGGCATAATGAACTTATATGTATATATATCAAAATCAAGCTTTAATTTTGACTGATTTCGGCTAATATCCATTACATTGGTTATCTAAAAAAAATAATGTGTATTAGATTAATAATAAAACAAGCCACTAATCGTAAGCCCAAAAGAAAAGTTTTTCAAAATTAATTTGAATTTTTTAATTTATTTTGTTTGGGTGTACTTCAAAAGAGTAATTTGGGAAGAAAAAAAAAATGTACTAAGAATAAATTGTAACTCTAAATAATTTAATCGAGTGTACTAAAAAATTGGGCTCACTTAATTTTTTTTTTGTGTGTAAATAGAATTCTCCAAAATTACTGGGCACAAGTCGAACCCAAAAACTATTCTCTCAATCCAATAGCCCAACTGTTGTATTTTGGCCCATCAGAGGCCCATAATTCGAACCCTATAAAGTGCTATGGATTTTGAAATTCTAGGGCTTCTACAACAGCCACATTTTCACGGAAGCTTTCGCGATCTCATTCATGGAGATCTCGAATACAAAGAACTAAACCCTAAAGACCCTTCCGCTATAATTTCGGAGATTTTCAGGTATAAATTATCAAACTTGTGGTGTTAAATTTTAGTATTTGATCAATTGATGCTTGGTTTGTTAAATTTGGAGAGAAATTTATGGTTTGCTCTGCACATCATGGATTACTACTTTTGCAATGATCTATTCTAAGATGATTTTACTATAAATGAATTGATCAGTTTCTTAATTTATTTTGATTCAATGAATGAAATGTGAGATTATTTGGTACTTTTTGTTTCATGGACTTGATGATCCATTGTTCATACATAAAATATATAGAGTGGTTTAGATTTTGATAATCTTATTGGGTATACAAAATTTTACTAGATACCTACAAAAGGGCATGTTTTTAGTCATTAAATTAAATCTAAAAAATTAAGGCCATGCTTGGTTTGTTTTTGTGAACAATTTTGAAAAATAATTTTTTAGAAAGAGTTTGTAAAATTTTAAAATTTGTTTGGTGGTATAGTTTGAAAATAGTTTTGAAATTAAAGATTTTATTTATTTATTTTTTGTTTTTGGTAGTTGAATAGATGTGTGTGAGAGAAAAAGTTATTAATTGATGTGTAGTGGAAAGAAAAATGATTTTGATTTTTTTTTTTTTCAAAAATTTTCAATTAAACAAAATTTTGAAATTTTTTCATAAAAATTGTCTCTACAAACCAAACAAATCGAGTCATTGATCATAACCAACAGCCAAGGCCGGCCCTGAGGGCAGGCAAGAGAGGCCTGCGCCTTGGGCTTCTAAATTTGGGCTAAAATAGGGGGCCTCAAATATAATTTTATATTTTAGATATTAAAAAAAAAAAAAAGATGGCCCAAATACTATAAACCCAATTAAACATGAGGCCCAAAAAAAAGTAACAAGACTAGATTTTTATTTTTTTTTAAGTATTTGTAATGATTGCTTCCTATTTTAATATATGAAAGTAAATTTTTATTTATAATTTTAATGATTATATGTGCAAGTAAATTTTTTTATGATTACAAACAAATAAAAAAATTATAATTTATCGTTTTATTCATGAATTTTTTATTTATTTTTTTAATGTTAAGAGGCTCCTATTTTAGAAATGTTGCTGAGGGCCCCCTAAATCTCAGGCCGGCCCTGCCAACAGCACTGTGGGGCATAACTCAAGTCTATTTTGATTGGTAATCAAAGTTGCCACAATTGAGTCCTAATCATGTAATTCCACTTTGGAATATAGCCAAATACTATTATGAGTTGTAAACAAATTTGATTTGACAATTTTTGGTCAATTATGTAATGGTTCATAACCAAATATCACACTAGTAAAGGAAAAGTGTTGTGTAGCACCTAGGAAAAAGAAACAAAATTCTTACTTGAGATAGATTTAAAACAACTCTATTCCAACAAATTCAATTAAATTAATACATTTGTTGAAATTACACAAAACACATTGGCAGGAATACTGATACCTTCTTCAAAATAAATATATATGTATATATCAACCTTAAAACACAAATTTTTTTTTAGGTGTAAATGCAAATTCTCCTAAAATACAACCTTTATTGTCCTTGTGGTCGTCTTCATCACTTGAACACATATTTTACTACCCCTGGAATGTGAGTGTCCAAGAAGTAGTCTTCCCAATTAATGATCTTGGGATCAAAGTAAAACACATCTATCTCAACGCCACTCTCTTTTGCTGCCATTCGCAGCTTTTCAGTGTTGATATCATCGTAGCTGAACACAAGAAGCTCATTATCAGGCACTATGATGATTATAATAAACATATGCAAATTTGACTAATACAACTGTTTTTGGTAGTGAATATTTATATACTTACATGCCCTTGAAGAACAAGTAAGGTTGGTAAAGTTCTACCAACCGCATCACAAATTTGATCTTTCGGTGAAGATCGGCATACACGCCTTGGAAATATTTGCAAAATGCTGTATTTGCTACTTGTAATCCCTGAAAAAATTATAGGACAAAAACCCCAAAAGAGGAAGAAGGTATTAGTGTAACTATGAAGTTATTTGCTATTTTTGGTTTTGTGTTTTTTATCGTGTTGTTTCTGTGTATTTTTCTGTTCAATTGACCTAGCCTCTTGAGCATATTATCCTCAGGGCTAATTCTGTTTTGTGTTGCCTTCTTTGTGACTCTTGGCCATGTTAGTGTGTCCTTTGAACATGTGTCTTGATCTTTGTCATATATTTCTCCTCTTTATTTTTATTTTATACATATATATATATTTAACAAAACACTTGTCAAAATTAAGAAGATAATATTAGTCTGAAGTGTGTCATGCATCATATTGTCCAAATGAGATATACAATCCATCGAATAAAAATATCATGATGTGTTTTGTTTGTTTGCCAAGAAAATGGATGAAAAGAAAAGAAGAGAAAAGAAAATGGATGAAATGGAAGTATGATTATAACATATAGATGCCAAAAACAAACCTTGAGTGGAAGCAAGTAATGCAAAGCCATGTATCTGCGGAAGCTAGACATGGAGCTGAGAACTGTAATATGGCCAACTTTGACAGCCTTTCCATCCTTACCAATCCATGGATGCTTTGTAAAGTAATGGTGGCCATACTCTTTAATCCAAGAGAATATGACCGGATTTGATAATGAAGAACCAACTTGGTAGATCATCATCTCGCATGGTTGAGTTGCATGGGCTGCCATTGCAACCACCATTGAATTAACCACCATGTCAGCTGGTATCTGCATATATATATCCTTCACATAAGATGATATTTGGATTCTTTTAAGAGAAGAAGATGAACATCACTTGCATGTTATACATATAATACATGGGCTAATGGCACTTTGCCCCTTTTGTTACACCGATAGGATGTTAGCTAGTTAGTAAGTCTGGTTAGTACAACTAGACATTTGGCGTTTCTTCATAAGTTTAAACTCTGAATATTTCGCTAGTAATGTAGAAGTACAATCAATTAAGCTACATTTAAGTTGTATCTTCCAATTTTGTAATAGTTGCACCTTGTACTCTTTAAAGTTTTTTTGCGATATTCCCAAGTCAATCCCACTATATTTTTCAATAATTAAAAAAAAAAATAGAGGGTACAAAGTATAATTTTATAAAATTATGAGGAACAAGAAAATTCTACAAAATTAGAGAAAGAAAAGTGCAACTTATAATTTTAAAGGACAAGGTACAAGTTTGACAAAAAAACTATAGAGGGAGTGCCATGAAGCCATACGTACAAGAAGTATTCCACAATTTGATACCATTGTCACGTTGGTTTTCTTGTAATGTCACACCAAGAGGAACAATGACTAATAAATGAGAAAATGAGTAAAGGTTAATTAGCTCACCAAATCAACTATAGATTCGAGATCACCAAGGAAGCATGGCAATTTTCCTTTCCCATAACCAACAGCCAAGCTATCAATTGTTCTGCAACCATGGAAACTATGGTCAATTACCCAAAAAAAAGAAGCAAAGAAAAAGAGTATAGCTAGGCAATAAACAATTTGAACCCTAAGGTTGAAAAACCAGTCCACCTAATATATCTGTCCAAATTTTATTTTTTGGCAATTTTATTTAAAGAAAAATGAAAACTTTAATCTAATAAGAGTTATTTTGGGAAGATGGTTATAATCAGTTTTTTGGTTAAAAACTAATTAAAAGTTGATTATAATCAATTTTTTATAAGAGAGGGAAGTGAGTTATAATTTGGGAAGTGAATTATAACTCACTTCTCAAAAGATTCCAAAGTTGAAACAGAAAAAGGACAATACGACTTCGAATGGAGTACTTCACCCTTTTGCGTTTAAAAGAATGAGACTTCTCTCTAATCTAGCAATTGGACTGAAGGGTCATGGTATGGTACTTTTTTAATGTCTTTTTAAAAGTTTATTAATTCATTAAATTGTTTATATCAATGAAAATGATTCTATAAACAGATAAGATTTGAAGGGACAAAAAAAAAAAAAAAAAAAAGAAAAAAAAGTGCAGGATGAAATAAGTGAGCTGGATTCATTATAGCTAGGCATAAATTTGCATAATTTATTACAATATTTATGTTAATTTTTTTAATTTTTTTTTAATAATATTTATTACCTGATGCCTTCGACCCAGCCAGGGAAGGGTTCTTTGTAAGTACTAGTAATGATGGTGGGTCGGATGATGACAAGTGGCATCTCATCATCTTTTTTCATTTCCCCCAAAAGCATCTCTCCCATTGCCTTTGTAAACACGTATGTGTTTGGCCATCCATACTTCCTCGCCCTGTCAAAAAAAACATGTTTATGATTATTGCTTAATCATCTTCTCTAGGTTAAGTATAATTTATTAAATTTTCTTTTAAAAAAATAATTGTATTTTTTATTTCACAAATTCCTCACATTTTATTTTCTTTGAAAAATCTATTCACAAATCTAAAATTCAAACAGGGACAAAATAAGTTAGGTTGCACAAAAACTTGTAAGGTAAAATTATAATTGAGTGGTATCTTTTCAAAATAATTACAAAATCTTGAAATAATTTAAGACTTTAAGTATTAAAATTTATAAATTTTCTATTAATTTGATTGTATATATATATTTTAAATTTGCACTTAATTATTATCTTTCAGAACGTTAAAAACAAAAGCTGAAAGCGTTCATAAATATTGAATGCAGAGTCGGAAATCATTAAATGTACAACTAACTTCTGCATATAAAAATGGCATGCTGTAAATGAACTTGCACACAGCACAAGGTCCTAATAGTAATAAAAATAATTGGATTTCTTATCAACAAAAATTTTTATTTTGATTATCTGAATCGTTTGTTTTTATATGAGTCTCTATATATATTAACCATAGAAATTACGTTATTTGATGATTGTAATATTTTCACTTGTTACATTTGTTTACCAGAAAAAAAAAAATGATAAAAAGATGTTTTTTCAAATAGACTATCTACTTCAAAAAAAAAAAAAAAAAGACTATCTACTTTTTTGGAGATAAAATATAATAAAATAAAAATGTTACTATCATTAGATGGATTTAATTTTTTTAATGAATAATATACACAAAAGATTTTACAAAACAATTTTGCTTAGCAAAACAGGATGTGTGATGAGTCATACAGGTTCTTGAATTCTCTTGAGAGAAGTCGAACCCAACCCAATCTTACCCTAATGAAAAACACTGCTTCAGAGTAGAACGTTGGTTATTAATTTGTGCTAAAATGAGCTCACAACATTAATCAATGTTGGCTCAAATTAAATTTGGACCTTTTTTTTTTATAAAAATAAAATCAGAAATTAAAACTGGACTTAATAGATTAACAATAACATTATTTGAATTAAAACAATAACGGTTAAACTAATCCTTCCAACTAGGAGTGGGTATATGCATTGGGCATATACTAAATAATAAATAATAATTTCTGTAATTAATTTGACACAAAAGTTTAAAATTTAGTCACCAGGTGCAAATTTAAGCAACTGCATTGGACTTGACCGAGCCAAGTTAGCCTGAATATTCTCAAACTCAATCTATTTAATAAATAAATTTAAAAATTCATCTTATAAATATTTTAATATTATTTTAAAATTTAAAAAAATAAATTAAATAAATTAGCGAGTATTGATCAATGGTCATGTTACCATTATTATTATTATCTAAAATAAAAAATTATTTGTTGATGTATAGACACCACGTTGTCATGTCTCTGATCAATCATAAATTATCATATTATCTCATATTTTTTAATCACTTAATATAAAATTATAAATTTCATCTGTTACCGATCACAACAAAAATGAAACTAACCGTACTACAGGACCATCAAACACTTATCATCTGAACTACTTTTCTCAATAATGATGTAACACTCATTATTGTCAAAATTAATGTAATAATGTGACACATCCGATCCTAGTACAGTTTAAAAAAAATAAATTATTGCTTCATTCTAATTACTAATAACTTCTCCCCCAATTACAATATATATATATATATATATACACAACACTGTGTAAGACTGCTCCTAAAATAACTAATAACTTCTCCCACCAAACAGGCTAACCATATTATCTAAGTGTGTTTGGTTTGAATTTTTTGAATTAAGTTTTTTGAAAATTAAATTTTTTGATTTTCGTGTTTCTTTGTTTTTAGTGAATATTTTTAAAATTTTAAATATTTTTTTTACGTTTTTAAATGCATATTACTTAGATGTATCTAAAAAGTAAAAAAATTATGAAAAAATATTTTTAAAAATTAATAAATACATAAAAATATAAAAAATATACTGAATTCTATTATTTTTTTGTATTTTTTGTATTTAGTGAATTTTTAAAAGGTTTTTTTTCAATTTTTTTTACTTTTTAGGTATATTTATATTAGATATGTCTAAAAATTAAAAAATTGCTCAAAATATTAAAAAAATTCAGTAAAAATAAAAAAACACGGAAAATAAGAGGGTAGAATTTTGTGAAAAGTGTTTTTCAAAAATAGTAACCAAGCATTGTGTAGTTTTTAATAATAATAATAAAATACTGCAAGTGATAATTTACAAATACCACAAAATATGAGACTTTACATTCAATTATTATGTGAGAAAAATTTAATAAAACATTATTATAAGCATATAAAAAATGTCAATATTCAAACAAAATCACGTTAGAATAATCTACAAATACAGTGAGAAGAATCAAACCCAAATCTTATAATGGTCTCATTTAGAAAGTTGACTATTTTAATAAGTTATTTTAATTTTTACTATTTTAATAGATTAAATTTTGTGCTTAGAAAGAGGATAGGGTTTTTTTTGAAGTTAGATATGATATTTGTAAGAAAAAATATAAAATGATTATAAATTTGATGTGACATTTTATTTTATTAATTATTTTAACTTATTTTATCTTTTTGTAAATTTTAATCAAAAAGAAAAAATAAAAAATCCACTTGCCAAACAGGGCAATAAGATCCACAGATTTTTGGCTAGCAAACTTATTTAATGGCATCAAGCAAATATGAAAAGTTTTGTTTTTGTTTTTTTTTTTTTTTTTCATAAATTCATTCATAAATTCAACATTCAAACAATGCACAAATTAGATGTATGAGATGAGAACCAAAATGAAATTTTAAAATAATTACTGAAAAGTGTACAATAATAATAATAAATTAAATGTAAAACAAAAATTAAGCACTATATGTGGATTTCACCTCCCACTCTTTTATCTCACATTTGTGTTTTTGTATTTTATTAAACTTAATAAAATCTTTTGTATTTTAAGTACAACTATTTTAATGAAGAAAACGTAAAATTTGTGTTCAATTTCTCTCTTGGTTGCATTCCAATGGTTGACTATGGTCTTGACACCTCTTAAAATCAACTCAACTGTCATCATCATGTTATATAAATTTTCTTATCCAAAAAATATGTTTAATTTTCTCAATTACTCTCTTTGTAATAAAAGGATTGAGGAAAAAGGAAAGTGTTCGGGTTCGAGCTCAAACAAAAAATAATAAATTAATTAATTAATGAAGGTTTTAGCAAGTAACTGAGTTGATTGTTTTAGATTGAATCAAACCTTTGAATGCCCAAATCTTTCATTGCCAAAGTGATTTCTGCTTCTGTAGCTTCCTTTGCACGGAGCTCACTCAACCTCTCCTCCACAATTTTCTTCTCAAATTCAATATCTAATCCAAGAATGCCATTGAGTGTCTCTCCCATGGAATAGGGGTTCTCTAGGATGAGTCCAGCCCTTTCACCGGATACATAAGCTGAAAATTAACACATCATCTCAAATGCTTATTAGTTTATTAAAATCACCGTTGTATTAAATTTTTTTTCCCCCTTTAAACACCAAGCCATTTTGTAATGACATTCCACTTTAATTGTGTGAGAAAAAAATTATCATAAAATAAAATATGGATTTACACACGATCAATAAGATGTTTACTTTATTATTAACTTTACAATTGACTTCAAAGAATCCATGCTCATTTTTGTCACCATTCCACGAGCCACTTTTATAGAGGTTGACAAAAAAACTCATGTGACGCACACATATGACAACGCACTCTAAATGCGTAGGGGTATTTTTCATCAATGACTCACATAAATTTGACATTGAATATTGCAACTATGATGTATATATAAAAATCATTGTGTGAAACAATAAAAAAAAAGGGTAAATAATAAAAGAATAAAAAAAATTTAAAAGGTTAACAAATTATTTTTTTCCAATTAATTAAGGAATTATACTAACCAGTAGATACATGGAGAAGCATCATGTTCTTAGCACATTTCTTTGCAAAGTCGAAAACATTCTTGGCTCCCATTGTATTGAGACTCAATGAAACATCATATCTACAAAGGAGTAAAACACACACATTTACACATTAATTTATTTAGTGTATATATATATATTATGATTGAATTAATTCAAAATTTTGGTAGGCCCATACCTTTCATCAAAGTTGGTAGTTGCAGCTAGATTAACTACAATGTCTACTTCTCTCCACATCTCTTCCACCAAGTTAGCGTCTTTCACTCCCAAGTTCTCAAGTGTAATGTCACCAGGGACTGGCGTCACTTTTTCAGCAATAAAAGAATTCAAATTTGCACCCAATTTCTCTCTTAGAACCCTGAACAAGTCCTTTGCTATCACCTAATCCACATTCATAGAATTGAATTACAAAAACATTGTACTTCATTACATCAATAAATCCATTAAAAGTTATGTGAAAATGAAATGATGCAACATTTTGTTTGAGTAATTGTGGAGAATTATGTCATTGTTATTATTTTATTCTTTTTGTAACTCGATATTCAGCCTACTAGAATGACTAATTTAAGGGAGCAATCTCACCATCCACTAGCAGGGACTCTAAGGTTTCGAATCTGAAATCTTGGAGGGAGCACACCTCCATACTCCAAACTCTGATCAGCAGACTAACCCCTTAAGGTTATTATGTGATATTATTTAGTAATATTCTAAGCAATAATATAGTAAAAAACTTTATAGATGAGACAATATTAACGTGCCTCCATTCATTCACGGGGAGACGAGATGATCCCTTGGTGTGTTTTGTAATTTTTGTTTGTTGAAAAATATGACATACGCAATACCATACGGTATTTCAGAATAGGTTTGGTTTTTCTCAAGTTTTAGGTTTGGTAAGCCTATTTTGGAACCAATTTTAGTGATCCAAATAGTTTTTTTTTAACTTGTTAAGTAGAATATTCGTACAAAAAATCAACATGATTAGATATCGGTAATTACATGTTTGAATCATATTTATTTTAAAAAAATAGACGGCAAATATAATTTTAAGAATCTATTTTTTGTAACACATATTTGATTCGTTTATATAGCTACCGATGTCTGATCATCTTGATTTTTTTGCATCAATATTCTACTTAATGAGTTCTAAAAAATGAACGGTTTCACTCACCAAAATCGGTTCCAAAAATAGGCCTACCAAATCTAAACTCTCTTGAGTTGATAGGAGAGAAGCTAAACCCTTCCATAATTAGCTAATAATTCTTCCATTAAAATGAGATTAATGTTAAAATAGTCAATTCTCAATCAATTTTACATATTTAAAAGCACTTATTGTGTGTGCTAAAATCGGAAAAATTATTGTTATTCAGGTACAAAAATTAAACTTATCTAAGTCAAATATCTCTATCATTTACTCCATAATCATCAACCAATCATCTTATTAACACACCAATTTAAAAAATAGACTTATATATCATTTTTCATATTAACACACCAATTTGACTGGTCAGTAGCCTTTCATTGAATGACAAAGACATTTTGGATTTATAAGATAAATTGATTCTTCCAAAATGGGTGGCAAAATATATTGGTTGCAATTTCCATCAATTTAGGAAACACGTACGTGTGGGTATAAATATTATGTATATGTTAATACAAGAAAAAAAAAATCCAAATATGATAGGTTAGTTTTATTAAAAAAAAAATGTTTTTTATAACTTGTAATAATATATAATATAAAAATTAAACAAATAAATGTAAACAATAATTAAAAACTCATAGAAAAACATAGAACAATATAATGAAAATGGGTAACCCAAAAAAAAAAGATGAAAATAAAAAGGAACCATGAGTATTTTTAATTTTTTTTAATAATTATAAAAATATGCTATTTTTAAAATTAGGGTGAATTACACTAATAGTCCCCATAGTTTGGGGCTTGTATCACTTTAATCACTGATTTTTCAATTGTGACACATTTGATCTTAAATTTTGAATCTTATTCCAAAAAAGGATAATTAAATATATCATTAGATTTTTCAAGGGTAAAATAGTCAATTTGATAAAATATAAACTAATTTGATAAAAATAAATATCAAATAAATATTTTTGAATTTTTAAAAATTATTTCTACCAACTAAAAATAAAATTATGTGAAGTTGATAAACCTTTTAGATATTTATTTATTTATTTACCAAATTAATTTTTATTATGTGTTTGGATGATAATCATGTAAAATTAATTTTTAAAAATTAATCATGTAATTTTTATTAATTTTTGTCAATTTTACATAATTTTAACATTGGTGGATAAAAATAATTTTTAAAAAATTAAAAATATTTTTTTAACATTTATTTTTGTCAAATTAGTTTATATTTTATTAAATTAACGATTTTGTCCTTGAAATTAAACAATGGTATCTTCAATTATTCTTATTTGAAACAAAATTTAAAATTCAGGATCAAATGTGTCACAATTAAAAAATCAATGACCAAAGTGACACGAATCCCAAACTATGGGGACTGCTAGTGTAATTTGCCATTAAAATTATTAAAAATAAGCACAATATAATTATTCTAAAATCTCTTTACTTCTAAAAAATGTCTATCATATGCGATAAAACGTATCAATATACACATCTCATACCCAAAATTCAAAAAAGTACCGGATGTGTATTTTGACTACACGGTTTACTCAAACCGATATGATAATATTTTCGAATACCCACAAATTGTGTTCATATATTGTTTGGCTACTAAGAAAATGTAGAAAGAAAAGAGAATGTGTTATGGATTACAGACCAGCTGCAGGTGTAGCTACCGTGGGTGTGGATGTATGCTTACCTCAGTTTGCAACCGTTGTGAGGCTGACTTGGCATCTGCAGCTCTTACAAGAAGATAAAGCTTCTTCACATTTGGTTGAACTCTTAGTATCTTTTGCATCTGCAGCTCTTACAAGAAGATAAAGCTTCTTCACATTTGGTTGAACTCTTAGTATCTTTTCCACAAAAACTACAACCCACACAATCAAATCATCATTACAAACCATCAGTCTTTATAGATACCTTAGAGAGAGAGAGAGAGAGAGAGAGTACTCTTGGCTAGAAATCCAGTGCCACCAGTGACTAAAATGGTCCTGTTCTCAAGAAACTTGATCACACTTCCCAGCTCCATTAGAGAATGAGAGAGAGAGAGAGAGAGAGAGAGAGAGAGAGATCAACGGAGAGAAAGTGTTGGGCTGTTTGTGACAATGTAGAGCATCTCATATATATAATGATGCTAAAGTGATATAAATGGTGGAGTGCACGCAAGTCATTGGTAATTTCTTTGCAATAATGATTCATACAATTAAAAAAAATCACTAATAACACTAATATATTGAGAATGTTAAAAAAAAAAAACAAACGCGCAAACGCGCATTGCTACATCATTAGCGGTGCTATTAGAGCACAACTTTTAGTGCTCTCAACCATTAAAAATTTAACTAAATAAATAAATAAAAACATTACAAGACCCACATTTTGCTTGTGCTTTTGTTTTCAATATTTTTTTTGAGGGGTCATATATACATATTTGAAGGCAAATACATGCGTCACAAAACTAGCCTTCTTTCTTTCAAGAAGAATTTTGGATAAATAAGTCTAACCTACCTCTCTGCAGGATATTAACATTGTGGTAGCAATTCTGTCCTAAAACTTGCAAGTTTCAGTTTTTATATAAATGGAAATCAATTCTGAACTGGGTTTTTAAATTTTTTTATTAATTCGGTTTTCTATTTTTGTTTCTAGACATGATGATGTTCGTAACTTAAAATGCGATCACAAAACTTCATAAAAGTAGAAAATAAAATTACACTAAGATAGACACAAAAAGGAGACTGATAGAGAAAAAAAAGAGAAAAATAATATAAAATTTATAAAAAAAATATTTTAACAAAATTAAATATTTAAAAATGACAAATTGCATGGATTTTGTTGGAAAAAAAAAAAAAAAACAAAAGAGGAACAAAGATTTTGAGGGGTATATATGAATCTCCAAAAGAGAAAATTAAAAAATATTTTGCAATTAGATATAAAAATGTAATTCTTTTAGGAAAAAAAAAACATTTGAGGAAGGACACGGGCCTCTCTTGATCTCAATGTGGCCTTGCCACTGACAACACATATCTTAAATTTGAAATATTACGTCAGAATTTAATTTGAAACATATGAATTAGATTAATCTCAAGTGTAAATCACACTATATTTAAATTTATAATACATTACAACTTAAAACACCATTATAAATAATAAAAAAAAAATTAGGTACACAACATTTGTGGATTTCAATACACATCATGCATGCATGTGTCGGAGTGTACACATGTACATAAATGATATGTCTACATGCATATGCATAAATTTTGACTTTGTTACTTTCCGTCTTCTATATCTCTTCAACATTTGCATGAATTTTTTGACTCCAAAATTTCCGAAGGTTTCGTATACCAATCCAGTTAGGAGTTTACCGTTTACCTACTCTTATTAAATTGAACGACATTTCTGTGTTTCTTTCTTTTCACACCTCAGGGTTGGTTTGGAAAGCTGGTTGGCTTTTTGCTTTTTTGACTTTTTTAGTTATTTTAGCTTGGGCTAAAAAGTTTAGTTTAGAAGGACTTTTTGACTTTTTTTGTGAGGAAAAAGTGTAATGATTATGGGTTGAATGTGATATTTTGTTCGTTGTGACTAAAATAGCCTATTTTATCTTTTGTGACTATTTTAGCCACAAATCATCTTCCCAAACAGACCCGGTGGCTATTTTAGGCTAAATGGGTGTTTGTCATGTGCTCCCAAGATGTGCTTTGGGTTTCCATGGCCACAATTAGCCTAGTTCATTCATTGGGGTTGTTTGGCAAGTTAGATTTTAACTCTCTCTTTTTTTCTTTTCTTTTTTATTTATTAAAATTCACAAAAAAATAAAATAGACTAAAATAGTTAATAAAACAAAATATCACATCAAATTTATAATTATTTCACTTTTTCTTTCACAAAGATCGCATCCAACCACAAAAAAAAAATCTAATTATCTTCCAAAACACAAAAATTTTAATCTATTAAAATAGCCAAAAACTAAAATAGCCTACTAAAATAGCAACTTCCCAAACACCCACATTATATTGTAAAAATGTTATAAAAAGCAAAAAAATGTTTCACAAAACACTGTCTTGAAGTTGTAGCTAGACGTCTGACAAGACGATTGGAAAATTTCAGGATTGAATGGCAAAGAATTCGAGATGATTTTTGTTAAAAAAAATTCATTGTTTGTAGCATTGCTATTATATTGTATGAACGGTGCAAGATGCCACTAATAGTCCCAAAATATCATAAGGTTAAAAAAATTTCATTCTGTCACGATTCAAACCTACCCCTAGAGGTTTAGGCTATGACCAACCAGTAATCCCAGATTACCCGGCCTCAAAGACCAAATTTTAAAATATATAATTAAATGTACAAGGACCTGAAGTGAAAACAGAGTATAAAATTTGTCTATTGAGTTATGCTTACATGACATGAATAAGAATATACATAACACATCTCACATCATACAAATATTTACAAACGTTCATCATGTATACATAACACAAGATCAAAACTATAACATAACAAACTATACAAAACCAAAGCTTCACAAGTTTGGCCAAAACAAAAGCTAAGGCCTCAGCGCGGAGGCACGCTCGCAAGAAAGGGGTTGACTCCGAAGCAGTTACTAATGCTTAACGTTTTGATACTCACCTACATACACACACACACACACACACACACACACATATATATATATATATATAGAGAGAGAGAGAGAGAGCTGAAAGCCCAATGAATAATCTCAATGTAAAGAGTTTAAATGAATGAGTTCCATAACTTAGCAAAACAATACAAAGTTCTTGACAGCATGTTTTGGAAACATATAATAACAAATACAATTTGGCAAACCTTTCATAGGTTTACACATTGCGTGGTATCCAAAGGCCTTATTCAAACTTGACGGAATACCATACGGAACGTTCGCAACGAAATGAATCATTTTGAACACCCATATTGGACGACCTCATACGAAACATCGATATAGGATGATTTCATGCAGAACACCCATATTTTGAGCATTCAGTACATTTGATGAGATAATACAGTCCAAGTTAGAAGCTCAACCAAGTGAATTTACTATAGTCATCAATGAAAAGTACATAATAGCGATATCCAGCAACAGAGGGAGAAAAAGGCCCCCAAACATCAGTATGGATCAATGCTAGAGGCTTATTTACAGTAGAATTTGAGAGACTAAAGGCAAGCCTGTGACACTTAGAGACACAGCAATGAGTACACAAGGTGCCGGAACTAGTATTAGGAAAAGAAATATTAGCAGACTTTGAGAGATGCTTCTGCTTCTGAAGAGAGGGATGACCCAATCTGAGATACCAATCAGGGGAAGAGGGTACGGTAGTAGAACTGTGAAAACAATATGAAGAAGATGGAGATGAAGATGGCATAGAAAGATGATATAGACCATTAGTATGATGGCCTTGAAATAGCAGTTTCTTGGTGACTTTGTGCTGAATAACAAAGGAATGTTCATCAAATGTAATAGTACAGTTGTTATCAGCAGCTAGTTTTTGAACAGAAAGGAGATTAGAAGAGATAGAAGGAACATGAAGAATATCATGAAGTTTAAGAGTAGTAGAAGGAGTGGGAAGCAAACCAGTGCCAGTATGATGAATAGCCAATTGATTTCCATCACCAATGGTAACATGATCTTCACCTTCATATGGTTGATAGAGAGATGCATTGTTGAGATTATTAGTGAGATAACTAGTAGCCCCAGAATCAAGGTAACAATTCGCATTGTTGTTGTCAGATGAAGAAGAGGCAACATAAGCCTTATGGGAAGTACCTCTCATAGCAGATGAAGGACCTTGAAAACTTTGATCCATTCTGTACCAGCAGTCAAGAGCCGTGTGATTAGTTTTGCCACAAATTTGAAAAATGAGTAAACCAATAAAAGAACCGGAAAAATGAGAAGCAAAGGTAGAGTTTGGAGTAGAAATTCTGCTGCCTCCACCACTACGGTTACGATTTCCCTTGAAAAATTGACCACCTCTGTTGGAATTTCTAGAATAGCCACCACGATAACCTCCTCTGTCAGACTTAGCAAATGGAGAAGAATTTTGCCTATTAGAAACATACGCAAAAGGCACATCAGCAGAACCAGAGTGCTTAGCTGAAGACGCAACATGAATAGCTTCAGAGCAAAGCAACGAACATAGACAATCGACAGAAATAGACTCAGCTCGTGCTCGAATGGTAGTCTTGAAGGCGTTGTACTCATCTGGCAAACCATTTAGAACGATAAGTACTAAATCTTCATCATCAATTGGAGATGAGACCAGAGTTAACTGATCTGAGAGAGTCTTTACTTGACCTAGATAATCCTCCATATAATGCCCTTTCTTGGAGAGACGATTCAATTGATTCTTGAGCTGATGTATATGAGACTGAGAGAGAGAGAGGTAAATCGTTTTTCCAGTGATATCCATACCTCAAATTTGTAGTCTTTGTAGTTTTTACAGATTGCTCGAGCGACCAAATATTTGCTCGAGCACATATCAAATCCATTGAGTAGTTTTATAGACATCTCAGACCAATTGAGCAACCAAAGGTTGGCTTGAGCAAAGACCTTTGTTTCAGCATATTTTGGAAAGATGCTTTGTGTTCATATCTTCGTCTTCATGTCTTTCTGAGCATTCATAGGCATGAGATATGACTCATTGATGATTAATAAGTACGAAACCAACATAAGTGAATGAATTAGAAAAGAAAAGATAAGTTATTCGATTTGAACAATATGTTTCAATGTGTATGGTTATGTAAATGTGTAGATTGGAACGTTGAGGAAGAACATCGAATTAGTCAAGGTGAGTAATATCTTTGTAAAAATATTTTCGTATAATCTACTTTAAAATTTGGCTTTGCTAGACGATGAATTATGAAATCTATACTTTGTTACGAGATATTTAATAAGATAAGTATTTTCTGAATAATGAGATATGCTATGAATTTCTGTCATGATTATGATGTAATTAATATGTTAGGAAACTCCGAATTGTGTACAATATGATATGTTTTCAAAAAATCAAATTTTTGCTAAGAATGAATGAGTATCCTTTTGAACAACTATTGTGACAACTTGAAAATTGTATTTTGATCTCCAGTAACTTT